ATAGGGATGGGATAGTCTGGATGTCTGTATCATAGATTTTAATGACAATGTTAGCTTGGCTATTGAGATAGTATTAATTTCCTTTTCTCCAGTAAGCATCTTAAAAAAATAATATACCTTATTCAGAAAAAATTAAGTGAAAAACAATAAAAATGTTTTATATTAACTGTAAGGATGTATAAGTAAATAAAAAATCTACCTACCCCAAAGCACAAGTACATTTATAGTGAAGTCTAATTAATTTAGTGTTACTTTAAAAAGTTAAGACACAAGTAATACATTTATGCACTACATAGTCTAAAGAACATTTTTTTGTATTTTTTGTATTTGAAGCACTGCACAACTTTACTATAGAAAGAGGCAGTATTGGAACACACAGGAACAAAAATATTCAGCTCAAAATAAACAGATTATAACATCTCAAATTTGTAACCATGTTAATCAATGTCAAAATTATGTTTAAAGCTTAAGCTTATCAATTAGTGAGCAAAAATTGTATTATGGAAGGTTTAAACATATGTACATTCATATATGCAGCTGTACAGAATAATACATTGTTTCATACAGTATTGTAATTGTTTGCTTTCTTCATACCCTAATCAATTTAGGATGGTATTCATTCCTGCACACCAACTAAAAATTAGAATGCAGCCCTGAGATTTGGAGCTCATTAGATTATTTGTTATAGCAAACTACATAAATGGTTTCTTTCTATATCATTTCTCTGAGGAAATATTCAGAGAGGAAGGTGCAGGCTGCTCAATTGCTTATCCCACTTTAATTTTGTGCAGCATGGGTCAAAAATATGTAAGTCAGCAGTGGTTGGGGTTTCCCCCCAAGACCTCGGTGCTATAGAATGCAAATGATTAGTCAATTGTTTAAAAAAGTATTTCATAAGGTAAAGTATATAAATAAATATGTGAAGTCCAAACTTTCCACTGTGATTCACCAAACTGCATCTTTTGAATTCATATTTGCCTGCCCTATTCCTGGAATATATATTATTCAGCATTAGTTGGAAAAATGAGGAAACCAACTATACAAAAAAGCTGAATTGGAAAAAGTGAGCTAAAATGTCTCATGAAGCAGCAAAGAATTACTTAGTCTAGTTTTTTTTCAAAATTCCCTTGACATTAACAAAAAAAAACATGCTTTCTTTTGCTTATCAATTGAGCAAAACAATTCTAACAGTTTATGAATGTCAACCCTTCTTTAATGGAGGATATAATACTCATTATTTAAGGATATAATACTCATTAACAATCTCACACTGTTAAGCCGCCAAGTGATAGAACACTTGATAATTCCTCATAGGTTCTCCTTATTTATCTGTACGAACATTTTCTTGTGAGACTACAAAATAGGTGTACTAATGAATATTGATTCTGTACTGATGTAAAAACAAAATAAATCAGCAAACACAGGATTACATGAAGATCTACAGAGTTTAAGACAGAGAAGGGAAATCTTATATTAGAATAATTCAAAACAATATTTATTTAACCAAGTTGTGAGTCTTGAATGAAATAGAATAATCTCTCTGCAATTAATTGTATCATGAGGTTTATATCATAATAATTCCAAAGATTAAGATAGACTTTGCAAGATATTCTAGCTACAGACCAACATCTCTCCTTAATATGGAAGCTAAAATATAAACACCAACATTAGCTAGGAGGTTATAAAACATAATACCATCTGTAATACACCCATTTCAATATGGATTTTAAAAAATAGATAAGCGTCTTATATCATTCGTCTGGTGGTCAATATTATGGATATAGCTGTGGATGAATCGGATCTTCTGATGTTGTTAAACTAAAAAGATGTTTGATATAGACCTGAGTGAATTTATGAAATGTGTTAAGATATTGTTGTTGTTGTTGTTTTTTGATATGTTTATCCTGAGGTTACAGTTATTACCAATTGAGTCATCTGTTAAGTACCATATTTTTCGGAGTATAAGATGCACCTTTCCCCCCCAAAAAGAGGGTTAAAATTTGGGTGTGTCTTATACACTGAATGTAGCCCCACCCACTCCCACCAGAGGCCAAAAATGCGAAGCATGGAGGCAGCAATGGTCTGTGGCAAACCCTGTAGCCTGGAACACCTGATTGGGGGTATTCCAGCAGTCTGTCCCACCCACCAATCAGCTGTGCTGAATCAAGCTGCAATAAGTGCTGAAGCTGACCTGGCTGGTCAGATTCTGCAGCAGCAATCACATTCAGAAAGCACAGTAACTGATTCAGCAGGACTCAAAATAATAATAATATACAACACATTTTTAAAAGCAGGCTTCTCAAAGTAGCAGTAAATCCAAGCAAAACACAAGCAGTTTCACTTTCAGGTCTCAGCTAAACCTGTCTCCTTCCTGCTTCAAATAGCCCACATTGGCTGACTTAGTTGCTATGCCTATTCATTGTTTGACCTTTTTACCATGTGTCAGCTAAACACCATGGAAGCTGGTAGGCAGAGGCAGAATTTTTCTTATTATTATTTTCCTACCCAAAAACTAAGGTGCATCTTATACTCCAGAGCGTCTTCTACTCCAAAAAATATGCTATTTAAATTACATTGTGGGACCCAGTTGTGGGTTTCTTTTTTCATTTAATTTTCAATTTGGTTCTTCAACCACTGGTTTCTTCCACCAGACATTATCAAATGTTAAAGCTGTAGTGGCATTTCACACTGAATATTAGTCCATATATTTTGACATGACTTATCTTTAATAATCCTTAACAATTATGTAAAGTCATTAGCCAAGATTGTTTATGTTATACAGTAAAATGGCTATATTCTGGCTATACAATAAGTCTAATTTTCCTTTGGGATGAATTATATCTGCTGATTATTGTTGGAGATTAAGAATTACAATTTGTATAGTTTCTATAACATCCTTGTTTATCACAGCATTGTGAATTACTGTAAATATATCTAAATGAATAGATGTAATCTCAGTGGATATAACTCAGTGGACAAAACTCCCATTCAATCTTTGGGATAATTTATTAAAATGAGTATTACATCAAGATTAATATACATATATCCTAATATACATTAAGGATTTCAGTGTTAACTATATGAAGATATTTTTTTTAAAATGTGAATTTTTAATAGCAGTTTAGGATTTTATTTAACTGACAGAGCACCTTAATTAACAGTCAAGAAAAGAAAAACCAATTCTCACAAATATCTTACTACACTAATCCTCACTTAATGACAATTTGTTCAGTGACCAAAATTACAATGGTGCTGAACAAAGAAATTTAAAACCTGTGCCCAACCTGTGCTTATGACTGGTCCAGGAGTTGCTGTAACTCCCAGACCTGCCTACCCCCCCCCCCCACTCCATCTATGCCTTGAAAAACCAGGGAACTCCCAACTGGCAGTATGAAGCAACCAAAACCCCCTCCAATGAAGGACTGAACATTCAGAAAGACTCCACAGTGGATTACAAAGCAGCTGCCTGTGGGAAATTCCAAACATCCAGGAGACATCAAGGGTGTACTGGAGTGAGAAGCAACTACTTCCTCATCGTGCCAAATGCCTGGGAAATGCCAGGACAGTCACCCTGACCATCCTGTATCCCACACACCAGCTGACCTTCATCTTGGAGCTGGCTTCAAGGTGAAAAAAAAAGAAAAGAAAAAGAGAGCCGTCCTCACTTTCTAAAGGCTCTGCAAAGAACACATGTCTCCTAGGGCTTCACAGAACACCCTCAATTCCAAAACAAAATGTTTGGCTGCCTTTAACATTTCTTTTCTTTCTTCTTCACACAGGGCAAGGCTGGGTGCACCTCAGAAGCTCAATGGTTTTACAGAGAAAGTTTGGCTTAACTTTCGTGGGTTAAAATCATCAAGCCCACATTCCTAGGAGATTGAAGCAGATTTGTGCCGGGCCTCCAAGGGAGTCCCCCCACCCCTGGGCACCAGGCACTCTGCTTAATGGACCAGTGCAGCTGTTTATTGACAGTGCCTGGGAAAACCAGGATGCGGTCATAAAATTGAGCCATGTGACATGATCACCTGCTTAATGACCACAATGACTCACAATCAAAATTCAAGGTTCAATTGTGGTTGTAAGTCAAGGACTATCTATATTATAGAGCATTTTAAAGCTTGGTAATATATAAAACATTTCACTGTTCCGACAGGCCTGGGGCTAAAGAACCGTGCCCCTATCTCGAATGGTATGATTGTTGCGCTTTTAAATTATGTATTGTTTTGTGTTGTTGTCAAATTGTTTGTATCCCCCCTTCCCTTGTTTTGAGTTGTGAGCTGCCCTGAGTCCCCCTCGGGGGAAAAGGGCGGCATACAAATGAAATAAACATCAACATAAACAATTTATAGATTTTTTTTAAAAAAGTAGATATTAAGGTCTTTGTTATTATTTTAATTTCCTTCCAATCAGAGTATAGAACTATTTTAAATTAAACTGATTTGAAAACATTGATTAAAATGAAGAGACAAAGTTTTATTATATATGTAGTGTAATTTAAACAATAGTAATCAGAAGTTCCAGCTGTATAAGATGACAGTCTTAGAGATGAAAAAAACAACATAAAAATATTGCAGCTATTTATAAATGAATATTGCATTTTGAAAGTATCCCTAATCTTAATCCTAGTCTTTGGCCAGCACAAATAACTGTAATAATTGTTAATTATTTTTGTCTGTTCTTTAGATGGCACATAGAACATCACAGCTGGATTAGAATAAAAAAAGATGAACATTGAGAATGTGGCCCCTTCTGTAATTGATTTTCTATTTTTGCATTGTCTACTTGAGTTTTTAAAATATGCTTTCAACATTTAATTTCTTCTGAAATTGATAGAAAGGAAAACACAAAGAAAATACACCACAAAATTATGAAAAATGATACAAGAATAACAAGGCAATTTAATCATCATTGTAGAGATAAATTACTTCTTGCTATATATAAGAACCCAAAGGCATCAAGTAAATACCATTTCATAAAAAAGAAAAAAGCACTGTACTCACTTATTAAAAAGGTTCAGTCCAATTCTATAATGACGTTTCCTGATTATATCATTACTGAAGGCAGGCGAATCCCAACTATTACGAGTTTCTTTGTGGTATGTTTGCTTGCTCAAAGTTTGTTCCCGTAAGCTGTCTCGAGAGGATGATTCTGAACTGCAGTTTATTGTGTCGTTAGAATTGGAAGTGCTGTTGATGCTATCATTATCTCCATCAGAATAATCAGATTCAGATTTGCTTTGCCTGTTTGCTGTACCGTTAATAGCCAAGTGGCTGTCAATAGGCCTTGGTCTATGCCTAGTTTCTGGATCTTCTCGGGATATTACTTTGCTAGGGAGGCCATGTGATATGTGTTTTGGGCTACCTTGCTGACTACTAATTCCCCGATCATATGCATTTTGCCTCTTCAGTGATCCTCTTTCAGAACGGTCACTTAAATCGACTGAACTGTCACTTGGTGGTTCTATGGTTAGCAAAGGAAGATGATCCATCCTCATTCTCTGTTCTTGGGATTCCAATGAAGGGGTACTCCTACAACTTGTGTCGGTGTCTATTTTATGGTCTTTATGTGTCATAGACCAGTATTCTTGAGAAGGGTTTATTGATCTAAGTCTCAAGTCAGACTCTGTGCTCGATGGTCTTTCTATAGGATGAGAAAGGGGAAGTGGTGGGGATAATTCTTCCTCATCGATATATAATGTAACATCACTGTAGGAAGCAGTCATTTCATCAAGTTTCCTATGATCAACATTATGGCTCGTTGATTTAGATGGACCACAGCTATCTCTTTCTATTTCACGACTTCTGACTTGGTCAGGTATCTGTACCTCATCAGAATGTAAACTACGACAGTTTAATGCATCATCAATGGACTCTGCAAGAGATTTTACTTGTCTTGAAAAAGCATCCTCTAATTCTGTTATGGCATCAGCAAAGTCCGTGGAAGCTGCTGGAGATTTCATTGTAGCCGATTCAGCAAGATCATTACATCCAGACTGGACAAGGGCTCCTAATTTTGAACCATCATTTGTAACAGAAACTTGCTTCCCCTCAAAGTAGGAACTGTGAACTTTCTCAGGTCCTTCAAATGAAAACTGCATTCTCATATTGGATAGTACAATGCGCCTTGACATACGATTTTCAGACATAGAACTTCTAAGCCGCTCAAAGTTTTTGTTCATCTGATACTGGCGGAAAGCAGTCTGTATAGTACGAGCAGCATGTCTAGTTATGAGACGGCCTCCATATTTTCGTTCTAGCATTTCAACCTAAAAAGAGAATGTATTTTATAATATGTAATCTTTCATAGCATGGGTTTCAACTCAAATCATCATAAGGGCTGCATGAAGAGGAGAACCACAACAGTGAAGCCTTTTCATACATAATACAAAAGTCTCATGGATCAAAAAGGAAGAGAATTATTATATGCCATCAACCACAAACATATTAAATAAAAAGCTTCACTGGGTAGTAGAGATCCTTTTTTTAAAAAACCCTCTCACTTTGGCCACCTATATTGTATTGCTTTTTAATGCCACCTATATGGCATTATTTCATGAATGACAACATAAATCTAAACTGAATCCTATCATCTGAAATCTGAATGTAATCCCCTTAAGCAGCAGCAACTATACCTGAAAATCATTTCCAATTCTGCCAGAAACAGATATTGGCAGTTGTCTGATGAAAAAAAAGTTTTGTTTTCAATTTGATACATCACCCTTTCTTGAGGTTATAATTCCTGCAACTGTAGCTTATTTTCTGATTATTTTTAATGAGAAGCAGGCTAAAATATGCTCTTTCATACATATAAAAAAGGAAAACAATTGCCATTTGGTATTCTCCAGTTATAATTACTTGGAAGATTTGGAAAGCGGGAAATTTTGAGGTTTGCAATCAATTACAATTTCAACCTATGGTGCATTTCCTTCATAAGGCTGTTGTAGATGTAAAATAGCCATCTTGAAACATAAAGAGACTTTTGGGGTAACTTGCACTTTATACCAAGCAATAATAGGCTATATACCAGTGCTAACTGTGTATCTGGTTTCTGGACCAATGGTGAGAAAAAATTTGGAAGTTAAAGAGACAATATCTGTTTCTTCTCTGCATCTCCAAATGACAGAGTACTGTGACAGAGCCCAAAGCAGAAGCACATATTTGTTTCTGCTGCTTGACCAGAGATGATGACTCACCCTCCTACTCTTAGGAGCAAATTGCTGAGGGATATTATACTACTTTCATTTTTCCCCTCGGCCTTCCTTTCCCAAAGCAAGCATTGTCTTACAGCTTAACAGTTGCAGCATATAAAGCTCTAAGTAACAGTGATTATGGCTTTCCCTCTGTTTTCCACCTGAGATGAGCAACACTGCTGAAAAGGCTTTAAAAGCAGTGGGAAGCAAGTAAGAGGAGATCCTGGCTTTTTCTTCTCTCCTTTCTAGCAGTGCAACAACTTCTTGTTGCACACAATATTTCCCTCCTGGTAGCTATTCTATAACCATGTTTGCCAAGAAGCTAGAGAGGTGAAATAGCTGGACTCACTCAGGTCTTCCTTATGCTCCACGGTTGTTAGCTGTTTTATGAAAGGAAGTTCAGAAAAGAGATAAAAGGAAGGAACAGTAATGATGTAGCATCTTTCAGCAAATTCTGGAGAAACTGGCCAGGAGAACAGGTGCTTCCAGCACAGGAAGGGCAAAATACCATTCATGTCCAATTATCAGAATGTTAGTGCTACCTGGGAAGTTCCAAGTTAAAATTATTACAATACCCTGATGTTTTTGACATGAGGACAGCACTGAAAAAAGTGACTTATGACTGGTCTTTTAACTTATGACTATCACAGTTTCCCTACAGTCATGTTATTAGAATTTGGATGATGGAAACCAGCATGACTTTATGATGGTTACAACATCCAGCATGGGGTATGCTGTCACATGATTGCCATTTTCAACTCTTCCCAGTTGGCTTCCAATAAGCAAAGTGAATGGGCAAAGCCAGATTTGCTTAACAAAGATGTGATTCATTTAACGACTGCACTGATTTGCTTAGCAACTGGGTGATTCACTTAACAATCACCTTGCTTAGCAACAGAAATTTAGGTCATAATTGTCGTTGCAAATGAAGGACTACCTGTACACATAAGTGCTAAATTCTAGAGGCTCATGAAAAAAAATCTCTCAAGAAAGTTGATAATTAGTACATTTCTTTTTTAAAAATTTGATTAATACAGCAACACAGCTCAAATACCTGTTTATCCTGCAAGTCCGATGAGAGTTCATAGCTTTCTGAGAGGGACCGTGACCTTTTAATAGCTTCTTCTTCTGCTTGTTTTCTTAATATTGACGTTGAGTGCTGAAGCTTTGGCCTCCGGGGCCTTTGGTGTCCAGGGGAGACAGAATATAGACCATATGGAGAATGGTCATAATGATCTGGACTTAGAGCTGAACTGTGAGTTATAGTTCCTTGATGATAAGCAGATGAACTATCCAGGGATGTGCCAGTTTCACTTCCAGGTGCTTCACCCTCAACACTGGAAAAAAGGAGAGTAAAATGCAACATGGTTAAGATGTATAGTATAGCTTTTTACTGCTGCAGCTCCATATGTATAATAAATGCTGGTTTGTTTGTTTGATGCCCATCTTGGCAAATGACTCTGGGTGCTCACAATTAAATTATTAACTGTGAACTATTAATCATGTCTAAAATATTCACTTTCAGATACACACTTTAGGAAACTACAAATGACCATGTTTACAAATTTCTGACACTTTCGTTTGTTTCTAATGTAATACAATGTAACATAGATAAAATGAAGATTTAGAAATTTCAAACATTGCTATTATTTCCTTGGCAACTCTAAACTTTGCCTCATGCAATTTTTAATAGGAATCTCTAAATAAAAATAAGCTATGTATATCACATTATTAGCAATTAAAAAGAGCAAACTAATCAATAATTTCTGGAATCAGCTTAGTGGAACAATGGAAACCAGTATCCAGTTATACAAGAGAGTAAACTAGTGCCCATTGCAATCTTAGAAGACATTCAGCTTTCCCCATAACACAATAAATGGTGCATCAATTTTTGCAGATCTGACACCAGAACATCTATTATGCAATAAATTATTTGTAGATACCAACGTTATGAGATTTGGTATTTCTCATGAAAGATCAAATATAATTTTAATAATCAGTGTTGAGGTTTCAGTAAATGTTACATGAGGAATGAAATATTCCAACTCATACAATAATGCAACAACTAATATATTATAGAAACATGACATTGCACAGGTTTCAAACTAATTATTTCATTTTAATTACTCTTTCCATCCCACTCTTATTTCCAGTCTTACTGTTACAACTTTATAAAGTAAAAATAAATATTCAAGTTGCTTCATTCTTGCCAACATATAAATTGTTCAATGGCTCTAAAATGCTTCATCAACAGGATTTAGAAACATGCCAAACCCACAAGAAAAACAAGTTCCTGCCAAATCTCCGTGGAGATGAATGAACCAACACAGTAGCCAGCAAGAATATGAAAGGTACTGTTAGATGAATGCCAACATAAATAGTAATGATCATGCAACCAATATAGAAAAAATTCTTAAATTTTTTATAGAGGAGTTTATTTATTGGATTTTTTGTAAATATTAAACAGGATAAAAATGGTAATTAATCCTCAGAATTTATTTAGTTATTCAATTTGTATAGCCACCCCTCTCACATATATGATTCTGGGCAGCTCACAATGACTAAAAACAAGAATAAAATATAAATAAAAACAAGCATACCACCACATTAGACCATAATTAAAAACTAAAAACATAATCAGCCAGCAAACAATACATTCCTATCAGTTTAACCACTGAAAATGCTCATGAATATCCTTGGACACACCCTCTAAAAGCCTGGTCATGTCATCAGGCCCTTCTTAAAGGGCAGAAGGGCAGGTCCCTATCTAAATTCAAGGGGAATTGGAAAGATGGGTGCCAGAGCAGGAAAGGCTTTCTTCCTGGGTCCCATATAGCAATAGCAATAGCAGTTAGACTTATATACCACTTCATAGGGCTTTCAGCCCTCTCTAAGCGGTTTACAGAGTCAGCATATTGCCCCCCCAGTCTGGGTCCTCATTTCACCCACCTCAGAAGGATGGAAGGCTGAGTCAACCTTGAGCTGGTGAGATTTGAACCACTGAACTGCAGATAGCAGTCAGCTGAAGTGGCCCGCAGTACTGCACTCTAACCACTGCGCCACCTCAGCTCATATGATGATATTCCTTATTACATGGGACCAGGAACATGTCTCTGTTGCCAGGTCTGAATCCCATGTCACTGACCAAAGACCAGTAGTTAATGAAGTGAGTTAAGTGTAGACCAGAGGTGGTATTCAGCAGATTCTGACCAGTTCTGGAGAACTGGTAGCAGAAATTTTGAGTAGTTCGGAGAACTGGTAAATACCACCTCTGACTGGTCCCGCCCCCATCCATTCTCTGCCTCCCAAGCTCTAGCTGAGTGGGAGGAAATGAGGATTTTGCAGTAACCTTCCCCTGGAGTGGGGAAGGAACGGGGATTTTATAGTATCCTTCTCCTGCCATGCACACCAAGCCACACCATGCCCACCACGCCATGTCCACAGAACTGGTAGCAAAAGTTTTTGAATCCCAACACTGGTATAGATCCTTGATTCTTATACAAGATATAGCAATTTGGTAAACAGCCTTGAAAGACATCATAATCAATAGAATATTGTAATCTCTTTTTTTGCACACATTATGAAAAAGTCTAATTCTCTGGAGAAGGCTCTAGCCCTGGAAAAATGTAAGCAGCTAGGTGAATTGACTCAGTTATAGTTGCAATGGGTGTACTTTTGGAAAACCCAAAAGACTAGGTCAGAGAAAAATCATCATGGAGAAAATATATTGATGTGATCATTAACTCTGTTACAGCAACTTGATGGCACATGATCAATCAGAAATCAAAATCTATTTGTCCATTTCCCAGTGAAAACTACTGTTGCTTTCCATCCAGAAGTAGCCCAAAGCCAGATTGGAAAGGGACAAGAATTAAATCACCAAAACTGCTAACACCCTGTGTTCCTCAAAAGAATACACACAGATGCATACCTATCTCCATCACTGACATAGCTGTCCTCATATACACATTACCAAAAGGAAAACTGGTATGAGACATTAAATTGTTTGAGATGACTTCTCTGTTCTGAGTACACAAAATCATTAATATTTAAACAATAGCTTTTTAAAAGCAAACCTCACTTGCTATTCTAGAATATGGTTTCAGAATGAATATGAACACTATAAATGTAGATTATAATAACTAAATTATATATTTCATATGAGATAGACTTTATTATTCACTTTTAAAAACAGCTTCCTTCAACTCGATAACAGAATTAATATGGATTAAAAATATCCAACAAAGTAAGTAGGGGTTCATGTCTCAAGTGCTTATTATACTTTTCATGGGAATTTAGATTTGCCTTCCTGAGTAAGTTCATGGTTTCTTCAACAAAAGTTTAATAAGTTAAAGTTCACTCCACATACTAACCCAAAATGGAATAAAATGTAACTTATGTGTGACACTGTTCTATTTTCTCTCCAATTACTCTATAGCGTTTGAGTTCCCTCAACTATAAATATTTATAAAAGACTGAACAGCATTTTTTAAAAGTGCAAGCAGGTTTTTAATGCACCACTGATATTTTAACATGGTTTATATTTGATAATACCACATTGTTCTCTAAATATATACTTAAAAGCTATGATAAAAATATAAGTATAAAAATAATATATAATCTATTTTGAATGCATTCGAACTAAATACATATAGTAAAGAAATGAATATAAATATAAAAGGAAAATGGATTTGGGTATCTATGAAAAATTGAATTAGCAAAGATACTTGCATAGGGATGTAGACTGCCTGTCATAATACAACAGGTACAGGTGGCCCTCAGCTTAGTATTTTCATTGCTAAGCAAGGTGATTGTTAAGTGAACTGCATTCAATTTTATGACCTTTTTTGACATGGAGAATCATTGCAGCTGTTAATAGAATCAGGCGGTCATTAAGTGAATCTGGCTCCCCCCTCCCCATTCACTTTGTTTGTTGGAAGCTAGCAGGGGAGGCCACAAATGGCGATAACAGGACTCCAGGACTTGGCAACTGTCCTAAATACATGCTGGTTACCAAGAACCCAAATTTTGATCAGGTGGCCGTAGGGATGCTACAATGGTCTTAAGTGTGTGGACTTTTTTCAATGCATTGTAACTTTGAATGGCCAGTAAACAAATGGTTATAAGTTGAGGACTACTTGTGTAGTACCAAGGGATATAAGATATTGTTTTAGTAGTTGCAGGAATGTTAAGGCAGTTATGAATCACGATCTTAATTCAAATCCTATTAGGACGTTGGTCATAAACTGAAGGGGCATGGGAACGGTTTTCATAAATATCTCATGCAATACTTTTTGGGGTTTTTAAAAGGACAGATCAAGAGAGCAGAAGTGAAATCACATCAGCTCTGAAAGTTCTAATTGACTCGGGAACAGTGTTGTTAGCAGTGTTGTACATCGAATCATCTTAGTGGAACAAGGTGAAATTTCATGATTTATTTATTCCAAGTGGAGGATGAGTGCAAGGTTATCAAATGTATTTTACTTGAGAGATGTGTCAACTTTTGAAAGGTCATGTATAACTACTGAGTACATTCTGATGGTAAAAATGCAGCACATTTTGTAAAAGAAAAGAATGAGACCATTTGTAGCATGGCTGTGGTTTAATCTCAGTGGCCAGAAATGAAATCCAAGACTCCGAGCAGTCTGCAAACTATGGAAGAAAAAGCAAAATCTCCTAAATCCTTTATGTGCCAACATGTCTTGCTTATTAAAATGGTTTATACTATTCTTAATGTGATACTACTAATTAAAAACATTTTCAATCATTTAAATTTTACCCATGCAAGGTAAAGAAAATATTTTGAAAGAAAAATTGAACAAGAATCAAGAATATTCCTCAGTGAATTACAATATTGTTGCCAATTGTGCCTGCCAACTAAAATAAAATGAATTCTCTAAGTTGAACTCAATTCCTTGTGACTTCAGGAATACTCCCTTGTAGCTTTATTAACAAGAATATTTAAATAGTCTTCTTCCAAGGTTTCCCCCCCTACTTTCCAGTCTAGCCCAAAGCTCAGATCAAATGTGAGAGCCTTTCTTTTATTATTCAACAGTGTGTCATTTCTAATTATTTATTGCCCACAAACTGTTCTTTAGCCAGTTGAATCAGTGAGGATCTTCCTCATGTACTCTGCTCAAGCATTTTTCAGGTAGTTGGAGAATTTTTTTTAAATGTGTATCAATGAGCCATGATTTGAGCAGCGAGCAAAGTGGAAATTCAATAAACTCAATGAAATTATTTTGAGACACTATGCTAATAAATAGTTTCTGAATTTTATCACAACACTTCTCAAACTGTATTGCCACTATGGTTAATTTGCTATTTCCTGAAAATC